ACAGACCTGTCTGTATTAGGGACAGAGTTACGGCCACAGAGACTTTAGGGCCACAGAATCGTTACTCAGGGACACAGAATTGTTACTCAGGGACACAGAATCGTTACTTAGGGACACAGAATTGTTACTCAGGGACACAGAATTGTTACTCAGGGACACAGAATCGTTACTCAGGGACAGACACAGAATTGTTACTCAGGGACACAGAATCGTTACTCAGGGACACAGAATTGTTACTCAGGGACACAGAATCGTTACTCAGGGACACAGAATTGTTACTCAGGGACACAGAATTGTTACTCAGGGACACAGAATTGTTACTGAGGGACACAGAATCGTTACTCAGGGACACAGAATCGTTACTCAGGGACACAGAATCTTTACTCAGGGACACAGAATTGTTATTCAGGGACACAGAATTGTTACTCAGGGACACAGAATTGTTACTGAGGGACAAAGAATCGTTACTGAGGGACACAGAATTGTTACTCAGGGACACAGAATTGTTACTCAGGGACACAGAATCGTTACTCAGGGACACAGAATTGTTACTCAGGGACACAGAATCGTTACTCAGGGACACAGAATTGTTACTCAGGGACACAGAATTGTTACTCAGGGACACAGAATTGTTACTCAGGGACAGACACAGAATTGTTACTCAGGGACACAGAATCGTTACTCAGGGACACAGAATCGTTAGTCAGGGACACAGAATTGTTACTCAGGGACACAGAATCGTTACTCAGGGACACAGAATTGTTACTCAGGGACACAGAATCGTTACTCAGGGACAGACACAGAATTGTTACTCAGGGACACAGAATTGTTACTCAGGGACACAGAATCGTTAGTCAGGGACACAGAATTGTTACTCAGGGACACAGAATCGTTACTCAGGGACACAGAATCGTTACTCAGGGACACAGAATCGTTACTGAGGGACACAGAATCGTTACTGAGGGACACAGAATCGTTACTCAGGGACACAGAATCGTTACTCAGGGACACAGAATTGTTACTCAGGGACACAGAATCGTTACTCAGGGACACAGAATTGTTACTCAGGGACACAGAATCGTTACTCAGGGACACAGAATCGTTACTCAGGGACACAGAATTGTTACTCAGGGACACAGAATCGTTACTTTCTGCTTCACAACCACTATTGTACGTTCAAAGAGTTAAATCCTGTTTTATGTTTGGGGTGCTTATTGAATTAAAGAGTATGTCAGACAACACGCAGAGGAGTGGCAGAGGAGGCAATGTTTCAGGAGCGAGCAGACGTGGCAGCAGAGGAAGGGGTCGAGGCAGCACTAGTTGCAGCCAGAGGCCAGTGCTCCCGGTGTCATCCAGCGGTCGTGTCTCCACTGACAACCCTGCCGTCATCGATTGGTTGACTCGGTCGTCTTCCTCTTCCCAGGTCACCTCTGACACCTACAGCCAACGGTCGGTGGGTACGTCAGACACAACCGTTAGTTGGCATGGCCCGGGAGCAAGCCCACTGAAATCACGTGTCCTCGACCTGCCCCTGTCCTTTGGTGTTCCCTCACCAAGCGAAGTATCGCATGCTGTGGGCTCAGCCCCACTGTACAGTGAGGAAGAGCTAACAGAGGGCGGTCAGGAACGGGGGGAGACATCCGCCTCTTCAGCAGCCAGGCGAAGAAGTACTGGCGAGGAGAGTGGCTCGTTAGCCGGTCTAGAGACAGGTCTGTCTCCTGACCCACACGCAGCCGAGGGGGCTAGTAGTGACGCGGAGACCCTAATTGATGATGATGAGGCTGATCGCACTTGGCAGCCTCGTCGTCATCAGGCTATTGCTTCCGCATCATCAGGAGAAGAGGGTGCCAGCTTGCCAGCGAGCAAAACAGTCGGTGGGTTGCCCAGGAGGCAGCAGGGTCGCAGCAGTGTCAGTGGAGCCAAACGGCCACGGAGTAGAGCACCAGCTCCACTGCAGCCTACCACCACGGCCAGTAGTGGTGCCGGTGTGCATGGAGATAGTAGCAGTCATCCAGTGAGGAGTAGCGGGGGCAAAGTTTCCTACTCGGCGGTGTGGCAATTTTTCGTCACGCCGCCCGAGGAAGTAAACGTAGCCGTATGTCGACTATGTGGCCAGAAAGTCAAGCGTGGCCAGGGGGCCAATGTTGGGACTACAGCGTTGCGTCAGCATATGCAGCGTCGCCATTCGGTGGCCTGGGAAAACCGTGATAAAGATATGGCGGTTCTGCCTGCCCCAGCCCCCGCTCCATCACCCCCGCTCCGTTACTTGCTCCGTCACCCGACGTCAATCGCCCTCTATCAGCCAGTCAAGGCTCCAACACCTCTGCTGAGGGGAGTTGTCGCTCGTTGGCATCTTCCGCTCGTTCAGATGCTCCTTCTCCTGCTACTCCTCTTCACGGATTCCGTCAGCAGTCTTTCTTGGAATCCGTTTCCAAGAGACAACAGTTTGCGAGCACGCACCCGACGGTGCAGAAGCTGAACGTCCTCCTGTCCAAGTTGCTGGTGCTGCAGTCCCTCCCTTTCCAAGTGGTGGACTCAGCACCTTTCCGAGAAATGATGGCTTGTGCCGCGCCGCGGTGGAGAGTGCCAAGCCGGCATTTCTTCGCCAAAAAGGCAGTGCCAGCCCTGCATTCACATGTAGAAGAGATGGTGGGCCAGTCTTTGAGCATGTCGGTCTCTGCCAAAGTGCACGGCAGCGCCGACGTGTGGAGCTGTAACTACGGTCAGGGACAGTACATGTCATTTACGGCCCACTGGGTGAACGTGGTGCCGGCACAGCCGCACCAGCAACTTGGACAGGTCACGCCGCTTTTGCCTCCACGTTTGCACGTCCTTGGTCCAGCAAAGATGTCCGCCTCTACCACCTCTTCTTCCGCCGTGTCCTCAGCCGCCACCCCCGTGCCAAGTCCCATTACCCGACCGGCATATCACACATGTGCAGGGCGCAACGGTGTCACGCTGTGCTGCACCTGGTATGCCTTGGCGAACGTAGTCACACAGGGGAGGAACTTCTGAGTGTAATGAACAGAGAAATCGACAGATGGCTGTCTCCGCGCAAACTGAAAATCGGAACCATGTTGACCGACAACGGAAAGAACATGGTGTCTGCTCTGCGTCAAGGAAGGTTGTGCCATGCGCCATGCATGGCTCACGTGTTCAATCTGGTTGTCAAGCGGTTCCTAAAATCCACCATCCCACTGCAAGACATCCTTAAAATGTCACGTAAACTTTGCATGCATTTCAGCCATTCCTACACCGCAAAGCACACCCTCCTTGAGCTGCAGCGGCAGAACGGAATTCCACAGCATCGCCTGATCTGCGACGTTGCAACAAGGTGGAATTCAACCCTACATATGTTAGACCGCCTTTACGAACAGCGAAAGGCCATCACCGATTTCCTGATGTTACAAGCGGATAAAGGTACTCCCCTGTGTAACTTAGATGTCAGCCATTGGCAGCTCATGCGTGACACCTGCCGCTTGCTCAGGCCCTTTGAGGAGGCCACGCTATTCGTGAGTCGGCAGGACTATGGGATGAACGACGTCATTCCTCTGTTGCACGTCCTGGAACAAATGCTGTTAACAATGGCTGGTCAGGGTGCGGTAGACGTGGCGCACAGATCTCAACGCCACATGACCCCTGTGGGGGCAGGACAGGAAGAAGAGGAGAAGGTAGAGGAGGACATTGGTGCTCAGGAATTATTGAGTGAAATAGGTGGTTTTTCCACTCAGCGGACAGGAGTGGAGGAGCAGGAGCATCTGGTAGGAGGAGGAGGAGGAGACAGAGGACCCAGACGCACCGTGGCAGTATGCTGTGGAGACGGAGGCAGGGAGTCCCTCGCATTCCTTGGCACAAATGGCCCATAGCATGCTCGGTTGCTTGCGTAGCGACAGCCGAATAATAACCATCAGACAGAGGGATGACTTTTGGCTGTCCACCTTGTTGGACCCTCGCTACCGTTCAAAAATGGTGGCCTTTTTCACACCTGCTGAGAGGGAGGCCAAAATAAAGTACTATAAAAACCACCTATGTAGTCAGTTTGGTCTCTGCCTTTCTACCCCATTGTCCATCCTCAGACACTGTGGGCCCTGTGCGCTCGCGGGAATTGCTTTGTATATCTGTCGCCTTAGGGGCCGCTGTCTGGCGACATAATTTTTTGTCACTGTGTAGACATCTATTTATAGGCCGATGTTTGGCCTAAATATATTTATATTACTAAAAATATATTTAGTAATAACCTAGCCGTTCAGGCCGCTCCCTGAACACCTCGGGAATTGCTTTGTATATCTGTCGCCTTAGAGGCCGCTGTCTGAACAGCTCATGAATTGCTTTCTATATGTGTCGCCTTTGAGGCCGCTGGCTGGACAGCTGATGAATTGATTTGTATATATGTACTTATTGTCCGCTGTCCGGACAGTTCATGAATTACTTTTTGTATATAGCCTTCCAAACCACTCTCAGAATAAGTCATGATATTCATGCTGTGTATAGCCTTATAGGCCAATGGCAATCAAGTCATGATTGTTATAGTGTGTATAGCCTTATAGGCCGCTGTCTTTACAACTTTATAATTCCATGCAGTATATAGCCCTATTGGCCACTTTCTGGCATCCAGTTGCTGTAGCCCCCATCACCACACTGTGCCACGGGCCCCTGTACCGCCTTCTCATACTGCTGCCAGATCCATCCTCTGCCATGTGCGTCTTTGTCGTCTGCTCACGCTGCTGGGTTCCAGTTTTAAACCTAGGCCTGTGTATGGCTTCCGAATACTGCTGCCTCCACCGCCACCCTGCGCCATGTGCCTCTGTCGTCTGCTCACGCTGCTGACGGCTTCCGCTTTTTAACCTAGGCCTGTGTATGGCTTCCGAATACTGCTGCCTCCACCGCCACCCTGCGCCATGTGCCTCTGTCGTCTGCTCACGCTGCTGACGGCTTCCGCTTTTTAAACTAGTCCTGTGTATGTCTTCCGAATACTGCTGCCTCCACCGCCACCCTGCGCCATGTTCCACTTTCGGGTCTCCTCACACTGCTGCCAGGTCCATACTGATTCATGGCCCCCTGTACCGGCTCCTCATGAACGTGGTTCAGCGGGTTTGCATCACTTAACGGCAAATCGTTGACAAATGCTGGGACGTTCAGTGTTTGTGCGCATTAAGCCAGACACCAAAGGGCAGCACAGACCTGTTATTACTCGCTCAAGCATGGCTGAACAAAACCAGTCTCTACCACAAATTGGACCCAGACCTGCCCAGGGTCTCGTAACTAGATTGCACGGAGGAGTAGAGTCCGTTATCGGAATTAAATAGACAAAACGCCACACCAAAAAGAGTGGCCAATTCCAACACTTATTCCAGAAAGAGGAACAACCCGTTTCATATACGGCCCGTAGACGTTTCACGTCTGCCACATTCAGTCGATTTAAGACGCAAGCTCCACTTCCTGTGGTCTGACCGTCGATAAACCTTTAAGTGTCAGCTTTGAAGCTATATTCCCTCCGGAGCACTGACACTGGTGCCCTTCCGTCAACATGCCTTTAAGTTTCAGTTTTCAACCATATTCCCCCACAGAAGCCAAACTCTTGGGTATCCCAGAAGCTGCTCAGCGGGTCAGGGCAATAAAGCTCCCGGTTCGCAGGTTGTTCCGTCTTATGGATGGAAGTACGACGGTATATGATCTTCTTCGCACCCACGGCATTACCCTCATAAAATTTCTGCATTGCATCTGCAATCACAACGCTGACTTCCCGGATCGCAACTCAGCCATTGGACTCTTGATAGTCGTCTCCCCACACTGCTGCTGGGGGGACTTTTTAACCTAGGCCTGTGTATGGCCTTCAATTGAAGCTGCTTCCGCTCCGCCACTCTGCCATTGGACTCTTGATAGTCGTCTCCCCACGCTGCTGCTGGGGGGACTTTTTAACCTAGGCCTCTGTATGGCCTTTAATTGAAGCTGCTTACGCTCCGCCACTCTGCCATGGGCCTCTTGGGTATCCCAGAAGCTGCTCAGCGGGTCAGGGCAATAAAGCTCCCGGTTCGCAGGTTGTTCCGTCTTATGGATGGAAGTACGACGGTATATGATCTTCTTCGCACCCACGGCATTACTTCGTAGAATTTCTGCATTGCATCTGCAATCACAACGCTGACTTCCCGGATCGCCACTCAGCCATTGGACTCTTGATAGTCGTCTCCCCACACTGCTGCTGGGGGGACTTTTTAACCTAGGCCTGTGTATGGCCTTCAATTGAAGCTGCTTCCGCTCCGCCACTCTGCCATTGGACTCTTGATAGTCGTCTCCCCACGCTGCTGCTGGGGGGACTTTTTAACATAGGTCTCTGTATGGCCTTTAATTGAAGCTGCTTACGCTCCGCCACTCTGCCATGGGCCTCTTGGGTATCCCAGAAGCTGCTCAGCGGGTCAGGGCAATAAAGCTCCCGGTTCGCAGGTTGTTCCGTCTTATGGATGGAAGTACAACGGTATATGATCTTCTTCGCACCCACGGCATTACTTCGTAGAATTTCTGCATTGCATCTGCAATCACAACGCTGACTTCCCGGATCGCCACTCAGCCATTGGACTCTTGATAGTCGTCTCCCCACACTGCTGCTGGGGGGACTTTTTAACCTAGGCCTGTGTATGGCCTTCAATTAAAGCTGCTTCCGCTCCGCCAATCTGCCATTGGACTCTTGATAGTCGTCTCCCCACGCTGCTGCTGGGGGGACTTTTTAACCTAGGCCTGTGTATGGCCTTCAATTGAAGCTGCTTCTGCTCCGCCACTCTGCCATTGGACTCTGATAGTCGTCTCCCCACACTGCTGCTGGGGGGACTTTTTAACATAGGCCTCTGTATGGCCTTCAATTTAAGCTGCTTACGCTTCGCCACTCTGCCATGGGCCCCTGTACCGCCTCCTCTTGCTGCTGCCAGGTCCAGAGTATGTCATGGGTCCCTGTACGGCCTCCCATTGCTGCTGACTTCATCGCCAGACTCTGCCATGTGGCACTTTCAGGTCTCCTTACACTGTTGGTGGGTTCCATTTTGTGATAGGGTGCTGTATGGCCTTCCATTGCTGCTGCCTCCCCACCGCCACCCTGCGCCATGTGCCTCTGTCGTCTGCTCACGCTGCTGACGGCTTCCGCTTTTTAACCAAGGCCTGTGTTTGGCTTCCGAATACTGCTGCATCCACCGCCACCCTGCGCCATGTGTCTTTGTCGTCTGCTCACGCTGCTGACGGCTTCCGCTTTTTAACCTAGGCCTGTGTATGGCTTCAGAATAATGCTGCCTACACCGCCACCCTGCACCATGTGCCTCTGTCATCTGCTCACGCTGCTGCCAGGTCCATACTGATTCATGGCCCCCTGTACCAGCTCCTCATGAACGTGGTTCAGCGGGTTTGCATCACTTAACGGCAAATCGTTGACAAACCCTGGGACGTTCAGTGTTGTGCGCATTAAGCCAGACACCAAAGGGCAGCACAGACCTGTTATTACTCGCTCAAGCATGGCTGAACAAAACCAGTCTCTACCACAAATTGGACCCAGACCTGCCCAGGGTCTCATAACTAGATTGCACGGAGGAGTAGAGTTTGTTATTGGAATTAACTGTGAGGGACTTTTAAACCTAGGCCTGTGTATGGCCTTCAATTGAAGCTGCTTCTGCTCCGCCACTCTGCCATTGGACTCTTGATAGTCGTCTCCCCACGCTGCTGCTGGGGGGACTTTTTAACATAGGCCTCTGTATGGCCTTCAATTTTAGCTGCTTACGCTCCGCCACTCTGCCATGGGCCCCTGTACCGCCTCCTCATGCTGCTGCCAGGCCCGTAATCTGCCACGGGCCCCCGTACCGACTCCTCATGCTGCTGCCAGGCCCGTAATCTGTCATGGGCCCCTGTACCGCCTCCTCATGCTGCTGCCAGGTCCAGAGTGTGTCATGGGTCACTGTACGGCCTCCCATTGCTGCTGTCTCCATTGCCACACTCTGCCATGTGCCACTTTCAGGTCTCCTCACACTGCTGGTGGGTTCCATTTTGTCATAGGGTGCTGTATGGCCTCCCATTGCTGCTGCCTCCACCGCCACACTGTGGCTCCACACTCTGGTTTTGGCCCCGTGACTGCCCAAATGAGTGAAGTGTGCGGTGATTCTAAGATCGACGGCACTCATCTGCATGTCATACTGACTGACAGTATTATTTCTCTTCCCCAGCAGACTCCAAGGGCATTTAAATTAAAGGTACAGTGTTCTGCACTAATATAAAGGCTCTCTGAAGCCTAGAAACACCCTTTTTATAAGTTAAATTCGCAGCGAATATATTCGGCTCGAAGCAAATTTATTCGGCGAATTCGGCGAATCAGCCGAACCGAATTTTTGAATAATTCGCTCATCTCTAGTCATAACCACATTTGGTCAACCCAGCATCTCTGACCTGTTTGTTTAAAAAGTTTGGTAACAAATAGAAGACAAAGATCTGTCTGTATACAGCTTGAATGGCCAATGTAACGATACAAAAAAAAACCCTGCTATTACCATGGTTAAAGGGAACCTGTCAATATTATAGTTGCTGTCTCCTTTTTTTCAAAGTGTTCCATGCACCTCACATTCTACTGAAAATCCCATCAGGCACGGCATCATAGAATATGCAGCAGCAGGTGACTTGTCACCATTTTTTGTCATTTCAGGAAATTATCCTTTTAATTTTTACAAGAATGTTGGTAGCCATGCAGAGCAGGAGGTGCCATTGCAGATTTGTTTTAAAGGTACAAGCCTTAAGGCCATCATTTCTTATCTTTAGTTTTCTACTTAGTAAGTCAGTGACCTGGAGCAACTATACATATCAGGAGTTGCCTGAGGCATACTTTTTCTGGGTCAGTGGCACTCCAGATGATGAAGCAAGGAAAAAAATGACATCCATAGATCCAGAATTGAATCATCCGCTAGGCAATGCTGTCCATGTCCAGAGGTCCCAATTTCATGATCTTACAGTAAACCAAAGCAATTGGTCAAAGCTGTACACCCACCTGTGCTCATACAAGGAAGGATGCACTTGTAGACACTCGGGGGTTTATTTACTAAAGCTGGAGAGTGCAAAATCAGGCTTACTTCTGCATAGAAACCAATCAGCTTCCAGGTTTTATTGCCAAAGCTCAATTGAACAAGCTGAGGTTAGAAGCTGATTGGTTTATATGCAAAAGTGAGCCTGAGTTTGCACTCTCCAGCTTTAGTAAATAAACCCCTTGCTGTCTGATAAGGCCAACCAGTACTGACAATGCAAATGGGGGAGGGGTGGATTGATACCTTGCCAATGTCCTCATCCTGCTTTAGGCAGGTCATACGTTAAGCAAATTGCTTGATTCCCACATCAACACGTTCAGTGTTGATGGGAGAATCCCTCCCATGGAGCTATTGTATTCTGACAAGCTGGTGGTACTGAAGTAGATCGATGGAGCGACTTTAGTACTACCAGCCTGCCCATACATGGATCAAAATGTTGCCAGTCTGTGCTGAATTGGACACATTTCAATCCATCTTTGGCCAGCTTCAATCTGTTTTGCTGCTTGGATCTTGCACATTTAAAATCAGCCAGTGGGAGCTGACATTTCATGATCCTAACACATAATCTCTAAATGTTCTGTACATTACTACTACATATGCTGGTGTTAATTTAATTAATTGACAGAATCAATCAATAGATCAACAAAAGTAATTGCTAGAATCCTAGACTGAAGACGCCTTTAAAAAGCCTAATATCATCACAAAGCTGGTATGTTAGTACACTGTTTGAGCAATATGCTTTCCTGAGTTTATGGAAACAAATGGAGCAGACATCCCCCATCAGTAAAGAGCTGTAGAGCTGACAGCTCATAAGAACAAAACACTCACAATCACTTTGCTCATTAGATGCACCAAAAACACAGGCTGATGAGAGACTTCGAGCAATGCTGGAAGTATATTTTCACCATTTCTGTTATTGTACAAAGATTTCAGGTTTATAAAGAGAATCAAAAAAGTAAATGAGCCTATTTCTACTTACATAGCAGAGCATTGCAATTTTCAAGAATTTCTAAATGACATACTGCGAAATTGTTTAGTCTGTAGTGTTACAGATAAGGCCCTGAAGCAGAGCTTGCTCACTGAGACTAATTTAACTTTCGCAAGTGCCTAGAAAAGGGTCGTAGCTGCCGAGGCAGCGTCACTGCACAGTAAATAACTTTGTATTACAGCCAGAAATGTTTCCAAACGAGCAAGATGGTAACTTTTTTTTTTTTTTCATCATTGAATTATTCCTACCTGTCTTTGAAATGCACAGCAAACGGCTAATTTATGAAGCAAAGACTATCATGCAATATGTGATTAGTATTCATGCTATATTGTACAATATTTGTATAATATATGGCTTATCAAAACATTTGTTAGTGATTTAAACTGGACAAATGTGTATGAATTCTATATGTGTCACATTATAAAACAACATTATAAATTAAATTCTAACTCAAGACTTAAAACTTTTCATATTGTTTTGGTAAAAGTGGGGAGGGGTTGGAGCATCTTTCAAGGTTTGCTGCCTGTGTCCCTTGTTGAGGAGCTTTCCTCTCTTGCTGTCAGGACAGGGAGTAGGGGGAAATATTTTTCAACAGGATATAAACTAAAACATTTTATTAATTTATTTCAGGTACTTATATAGTGCTGTCACTTTACGCAGCACTTTACATATATATTGTACAGTCACATCAGTCCCTAACCCTCAAGAGGCATACAATCTAAAGTCCCTAACTCACATTCATACATACTAGGGCCAATTTAGACAGGAGCCAATTAACCTACCAGCATGTCTTTGGAGCATGGGAGGAAACCGGAGTACCCAGAGGAAACCCACACAGTCACAGGGAGAACTTGCAAACTCCAGGCAGGTGGGGCTGTGGCTGGGATTCAAACCAACGACCCCAGTACTGCCAGACGGAAGGGCTAACCATTTAGCCACTGTGCTGCCAATGCCAGTGCTTTTAGCTATGTGCCTTCCTATTCCAGTGAAAACCTTTTCCTCATTAGTTTTAGGGTCCTTGCACAGGGGACTGAAGTGTGAATGTCTGATCTGCCTTGCCTTGTGCAAAAAAGGCATGCATAGTCCATATAGTGCACAGGTTTACATGTACAGTCAGGTCCATAAATATTGGGACATTGGACACAATTCTAACATTTTTGGCTCTATACACCACCACAATGGATTTGAAATGAACAAGATGTGCTTTAACTGCAGACTGTCAGCTTTAATTTGAGGGTATTTACATCCAAATCAGGTGAACGGTGTAGGAATTACAACAGTTTGCAATTGTGCCTCCCACTTGTCAAGGGACCAAAAGTAATGGGACAATTGGCTTCTCAGCTGTTCCATGGCCAGGTGTGTGTTATTCCCTCATTATCCCAATTATAATGAGCAGATAAAATGTCCAGAGTTCATTTCAAGTGCTATTTGCATTTGGAATCTGTTGCTGTCAACTCTCAAGATGAGATCCAAAGAGCTGTCACTATCAGTGAAGAAAGCCATCATTAGGCTGAAAAAAACAAAACAAACCCATCACAGAGATAGCAAAAACTTTAGGCGTGGCCAAAACAACTGTTTGGAACATTCTTAAAAAGAAGGAACGCACCGGTGAGCTCAGCAACACCAAACGACCCGGAAGACCACGGAAAATTACTGTGGTGGATGACCAAAGAATTCTTTCCCTGGTGAAGAAAACACCCTTCACAACAGTTGACCAGATCAAGAACACTCTCCAGGAGGTAGGTGTATGTGTGTGAAAGTCAACAATCAAGAGAAGACTTCACCAGAGTAAATACAGAGGGTTCACCACAAGATGTAAACCATTGGTGAGCCTCAAAAACAGGAAGGCCAGATTAGAATTTGCCAAACCACATCTAAAAAATCCTTCACAGTTCTGGAACAACATCCTATGGACAGATGAGAGGAAGATCAACTTGTACCAGAGTGATGGGAAGAGAAGAGTATGGCGAAGGAAAGGAACTGCTCATGATCCTAAGCATACCACCTCATCAGTGAAGCATGGTGGTGGTAGTGTCATGGCGTGGGCATGTATGGCTGCCAATGGAACTGGT